ACATTTATTAGATGTGTCTGATAGGTATAAAAGCCAAATGCTTTACTTGACATTTACTTCTCATCCACACATTCTTTGAGTGTTTCCTCATCTTGACAACCAGTGGTCAATTCATTTTCTCATTACCACAGTATCATAGATAATTTCAGTGACTGATTAGAATATGCATTTACATCGCATTCTGCTGTTAGATTCATTTAGACAAACTCACTCCCTCATCAAACACCACCCAGATACCTAAGACAGGCACAGCTTCTTTGATGTACGTTACTTTCCATTGGAGAACTTCTATGGCTGCTTGAAAATCTTTCTCCAAATCCATATATCTAACTTGAATGTGAAATCCAGGTCAAACACCATGAAAGCTGTCAGCCTCATTGCAACCATTTTGCTCATCTGCACCTCCTCAGCAACTGTTCAGTCCATGCCGGCCAGAAATTGTGATGGATTTGTGTCGTATGAACCATTGATTGAAGGCTTGGACAAACAGCCCTTCGTAAATCGAGAAAAATCTGTCCACAAAGGCTATGCAGGCCGTACTGCTAATGAGGATGATGATGGTATGGCTTGTTGTGATCAAATTTGTCAGGATTGTGTGGATGTCTGTACATGCTGTTGGTGCACTATAATGTGAAAGAACTAATATTACACAACTACAACTTTCTATCAAAGTTTGAATTTCAGGAGGAGGAGTATATGCTGGATGAGATGATGACAATATGGCACCTTTAGGTGATGCATGAGTCCTTTTTTTGATATTCCTGACCCAATTTCAATGATGAGCGTGGGGGATCAAGTTTTGGGTGTACTTTGTATCTCTTAGTTTGCCTTTCCTTACAATCATCAAACCCAGATGCTGTTGTCAATTTTCCGCTCCATGTATCTGGCAATAAAGTATGGAAAGCCAGGTGACTGGTAGGAATCAAGAGTTAGTGATCTTGTAAAGTGCTATGGCTAATATCACAAGGGAGTGATGGAAAAGAGAAGGCACCTGTTGAAAGGTGGCAAGAAAAAGATGATAAGGTCTTGAGTGATTGATTCCGGTAAGCGACACACAAAAGTAAAGTAAAATAGAGAAAACATGAACAACTAGCTGACCTGGTAGGAATCACAAGCTAAGGACTAAGTAAACCACTTTAGCAACCTGAGGTGTTCATATGTCAGTTTTGAGTTGAGCTAGGATTTGAAAAAAAAGTAGAGAGCAAATGTATTTTTGCCCTTATGGCCTTCATGGCTTTCCTTTCCTTTGTATTTACTATCTTCTTGGCATATTCTTCACATCCTTCAGGGCTTGCTATGGTTGTTTTGTCTTGTTCCTCCTGATTATATTTAGCACACTTGTGAGTAAGCCACTTTGTGAGAATTTCTTTGGCCAGCTTGGGGGTTCTGTAAGATTCTGGGATATTATAGTGTGCAGGGACTCCTTTTGTATAATAACACTCTAGCCAAGATGTCAACAGAGTGTTGAGTACAGCAGAGTTCCAAGGAGTTGTAATAGGGAGGTTCAGGTAGGCGTCTTTGTATGTTTTTTTATGTGGTCGCCCGTACCCTGCGACCTCATGCGCGGGGCTATTGGGGATTATGCAGAACTCCAGTCGGCATTGAGTAAAATTAAACTAAGCACATCCACATTACTCATCAGGAACATCACTCACCAAGCACGTCCAATATCTTGACCTATCGGAACCCTCTCATCAAGAAACTGGCGTCACATGGATGCTCCAAACCATTTTGCTTTGGTTAGACTTTCAGGATCTGGAATATGTGCAATCAGGACATCCAATATCTCAAACCCTTGGACTCATCTCTCATCAAACTCCTTCCACACAGGATCTTTGGTCAACCTCATGTGATTAATTGTCTTGTAACTTTGATATTGACGTGATTCAAAAAGTATTTCTACTCAGGCTCTCTTGCCTCCAAAGAGCCTGGCGCCATACCCTGTTTCTCCCTCCTGTTTTTGTTCTCTCCAAATCTCTCAACAGCTGGTTCAATTGCCACATTTCTATATTCTCTGCATTTGTGTTCTCAAGACGTTATCATTTCTCAGGTTTGAAAAGGTTCAAAGGTCCACTTATCATCTTTCACATCAGTCAGTCAAATTATTGTTACACCAATACCGCAACCGCTCCGCTCTTTTTTTGGGTAGTGGAGCCCTTGCGGAGCGGTTTTTTTACACCGCAATCTCCGCGCCAGGCATGGCGCAGCCTGCGCACCGCACTTTGGGCAAGGGGAAAACCCATAGCGCAGGTGCCGCACCGCAACCGGCCAGGGACGGGTTTTGCCCGCTATATGGCGGAGCAATAACCCTGTACCCAGGGGCTAACTGTAGCCATTGACAAGATAAGCCACTCACCCATACACCTTCTCTTCTCAACCCAACATCCAACGTGATCGACCCAATATGGAAGGTGGCGCCTGTTTAGATCTTCAAAAAGTAGCCAACAGCACCCCCTGGATACTATCTCAACTATCTCGACACTGGCTGACCTGTGGTTCCTTAGACCGAGGATTTCATCACATAAAGTACGAGTTTTAATTGATCTCGATCTCCTTTCCTCTTCTGAGTAGACCGTCTTCTGACTAGAATCATTTTTTTATTATCTTTCTTCCCTTTTGCTTAACATGCCACTTACCAAAAGCTCATCACAAAGTTCAGCTTTGGCTTCACTTCAAGTTCCGGGAATCAGTTCAATTGTACCTTTGATCACCAGAACCCTGCGTCCACCCAGCCCTGCTCGCCACCAGGCTGGGTTTGTCATTCCTCCTAAAGACTCTTGTACTGCTGTTTCTCGATCACCAGCTGTAGGTAATGGATCACCTGAGCCTCTTGCTGCACGAAGTGCTTCTCCTCGACCTCCGGTCAAGAAGAAAGGTAAGAAAGATGGTCCCAAAGCGAAATCCAAGCCGGCTGTGAATGGAAAGGTTAGTTTCTTAGAGCTATCCTTTACCCCGTAATATGTATCACTCACAGTTGTGTTCCTAGGTTCAATCTTCCACTAGTAAGCGGGCCAGATCACCATCTGGAAACCTTACCGACTCCTCACCCCGCTCAGCCAAAAGAGCTAATAATAGTCGTGATAATGTAAGTGTTTCTTCTGATTCTAATGATCATTTGCTTTCTATGTATGTGGGCCCCCGACGTCGGGGGCCTTCTCCACGGGCACTGTGTCTCTATCAAAGTTGCCAATCATACTATGGTAGTCATGAAACAATTAATGTACATGTATCAAGTCAACGTGGTGTAGCAGAATTGCAATCACCAAACTGGAAACCATTTGCTACAAAGTCATCTTGGTCATAAACATGCTTTGCATTGTTTCCCTACCTTTATGTGATATAGTTTCTGACTAAGCTCTCTGCTGTGCCAATTGAGAATCAATGATCAAAGCTTCTAGTTCTGAAGAACAAAATCGTGTCTTGGTATCAATGCAAAGTAGAACAACTTTACAGTCAGGAAACTAGAGATAAGGACATCTAAAAAGTCCAACTCAAGCAAAGACACTTGAAAGAAATAGGTTAAAAGATCAAAGGGACAATTAGTTTTTGATGGATATTTGTAAATGTTGGTATCACAAGCTATACTGAATCAAATCAAAAGTGAAAGGAAGAAAGAATGTTCTAATCTTGGAACAATTCAGAAAACTTACAAATTGACAGGATTATGCTCAATCAAAGGTGATAGATACTACATCAAGTCTCAGCCAAATTTCTTGTCCAACTTCTGAATCAATCATGAAATCTTGTAGAAATGGCTGGATATAGCAAAAATGAATGACAGGACACATCAGTTCTGATACCCCAAACAACCAAGCATTTGAATAAGAAAAGACAAACCATTAGTCCAACCAAGTCCAATTGCATTAGGAGGATACCCATAATTTAGCTGAAGGTGCTTATAATCTCTTTCAACTACATCACAAGTCCTCCAACATTCTACAGTCATTAGACAATAAGCCTTCTATGAATACTCATCTTGCTGAATGCCATCAGCAAAAAACAGTTTTAAAGAAACCCATTCAACTTCTAAAATTATGTGATGATTTCCAATCCCTGTACTAAGCCATGACTCAAACGCATACCTGCCAGGTTTTGTTTTCAATATCTTCTCGTAAAAGTGAACCATACATGTATCAAATTCATGTTCCAGGGATGTGACAGTTTCACTCTTTGTGTACATGTGATGTCATTCCATATGTGTGTACATTGTGACTCAGATCAACTGATGTCTCACATATTGAAATGTTACAGACTTTGCCCCAGTGTTACTCATTGCAGCACATTGTGATAAATGGAATCTTCACTATTCTCCACAATTCTCCACAAATATGTTTTTGATGTACAAGAGGGGTGGTGATGTCTAATGAGACCGCACAGTGGTCTTGATATACATTTGTTTCACGATTCTCCACAAAGATGTTCATTAGGCTGATGAGACTGTTACATCACCCTCCACAAAGATGACATGTTCAATAGACAAGAGGCAACCCACTAGTCTGATGAGAACTGACAGGTGTTGTAGTGGACATGATCAGTCTCCACAAATGTTAGCTTATCATAATGCTCCAAATGCTACAAGGCAGGGATTTTCTGTAGAAAAAAACTTACCTGTGACTTTTGTGATGTATGTGCAAAGATGGAGACAATTATTAGATGTGTCTGATAGGTATAAAAGCCAAATGCTTTACTTGACATTTACTTCTCATCCACACATTCTTTGAGTGTTTCCTCATCTTGACAACCAGTGGTCAATTCATTTTCTCATTACCACAGTATCATAGATAATTTCAGTGACTGATTAGAATATGCATTTACATCGCATTCTGCTGTTGGATTCATTTAGACAAACTCACTCTCTCATCGAACACCACCCAGATACCTAAGACAGGCACAGCTTCTTTGACGTACGTTACTTTCCATTGGAGCACTTTTATGGCTCCTTGAAAATCTTTCTCCAAATCCATATATCTAACTTGAATGTGAAATCCAGGTCAAACACCATGAATGCTGTCAGCCTCATTGCAACCATTTTGCTCATCTGCACCTCCTCAGCAACTGTTCAATCCATGCCGGCCAGAAATTGTGATGGATTCGTGTCGTATGAACCATTGATTGAAGGCTTGGACAAACAGCCCTTCGGAAATCGAGAAACGTCTGTCCACAAAGGCTATGCAGGCCGTACTGCTAATGAGGATGATGATGATATGGGTTGTTGTGATCAACTTTGTCAGGATTGCGTGCAAGGCTGTACATGCGGTGGGTGCACTATAATGTGAAAGAACTACTATTACACCACTACAACTTTCTATCAAAGTTTGAATTTCAGGAGGAGGAGTATATGCTGGATGAGATGATGACAGTATGGCACCTTTAGGTGATGCATGAGTCCTTTTTTTGATATTCCTGACTCAATTTCAATGATGAGTGTGGGGGATCAAGTTTTGGTGTACTTTGTATCTCTTAGTTTGCCTTTCCTTACAATCATCAAACCCAGATGCTGTTGTCAATTTTCTGCTCCATGTATCTGGCAATAAAGTATGGAAAGCCAGGTGACTGGTAGGAATCAAGAGTTAGTGATTAAGTAAAGTGCTATGGCTAATATCACAAGGGAGTGATGGAAACAAGAAGGCACCTGTTGAAAGGTGGCAAGAAAAAGATGACAAGGTCTTGAGTGATTGATTCCAGTAAGCGACACACAAAAGTAAAGTAAAATAGAGAAAACATGAACAACTAGCTGACCTGGTAGGAATCACAAGCTAAGGACTAAGTAAACCACTTTAGCAACCTGAGATTTTCATATGTCAGTTTTGAGTTGAGCTAGGATTTGAAAAAAAATGTAGAGAGCAAATGTATTTTTGCCCTTATGGCCTCCATGGCTTTCCTTTCCTTTGTATCTACTATCTTCTTGGCATATTGTTCACATCCTTCAGGGCTTGCTATGATTGTTTTGTCTTGTCACTCCTGATTATATTTAGCACACTTGTGAGTAAGCCACTTTGCAAGAATTTATTTGGCCAGCTTGGGGGTTCCGTAAGATACTGGGATATCATAGTGTGCAGGGACTCCTTTTGTATAATAACACTCTAGCCAAGATGTCAACAGAGTTCCAAGGAATTGTAATAGGGTGGTTCAAGTAGGCCTCTTGCAGCCAAATTAAGACATCCAAAATGTGTTTGGGACCTTATAATTATAAGTATAATTTAAGGGTTGTGAGCCAGCTCTAGAGGTAGCTTGCAGTTTCACAATTTGAAATCTGACCTTTGAAATTTTGAAGCTTTTGGCTTGCAAGTCAAGAATGTATGCAGAAAAAAAGATTGCCCTAACCTTTTTTTTTGTTTGATGCAGAAAAAAAATTGCCCTTTTTTTGTTTGTGTGGTGCCTTGATGTAACATATTTTTTTATCATAAAGTGTTAATTGTATGTTTTTTTACGTGGTTGCCCGTACCCTGTGACCTCATGTGCGGGGCCATTGGGGATTATCCAGAACTCCAGTCGGCATTGAGTAAAATTAAACTAAGCACATCCACATTACTCATCAGGAACATCACTCACCAAGCACGTCCAATATCTTGACCTATCGGAACCCTCTCATCAAGAAACTGGCGTCACATGGATGCTCCAAACCATTTTGCTTTGGTTAGACTTTCAGGATCTGGAATATGTGCAATCAGGACATCCAATATCTCAAACCCTTGGACTCATCTCTCATCAAACTCCTTCCACACAGGATCTTTGGTCAACCTCATGTGATTAATTGTCTTGTAACTTTGATATTGACGTGATTCAAAAAGTATTTCTACTCAGGCTCTCTTGCCTCCAAAGAGCCTGGCGCCATACCCTGTTTCTCCCTCCTGTTTTTGTTCTCTCCAAATCTCTCAACAGCTGGTTCAATTGCCACATTTCTATATTCTCTGCATTTGTGTTCTCAAGACGTTATCATTTCTCAGGTTCAAAGTGGTTCAAAGGTCCACTTATTATCTTTCACATCAGTCAGTCAAGTTATTGGTACACCAAGTAAGCTGTAATCTTCTTTGATTACTCGTTTAAAATTACAAATAGAAACTAATATTGTTAGTTTAGCCGTCATGCGCTCTTGCTCTCCGACTCAGTCTCAAGCTTCTGCGCACTGCCCTTGCGGAACCAAGTCTCAAATCAAGGCGGATGGGAGTTTACAAATAACAATCATGTGGGCTTATGACCATTTTGGTCATGATTCTAACTAAGATGAGGTGAAATAAAATTGAAACAACTCCCTAAATGCTTATATCTGTGTGTGTATGATAAAAAAACAATGATTTGAGCAAAGAACAATACTGAGTGCTTTTGTGTGAATATTTGTGTATCTCTTTCAAAGAAGATAATTAAAACCAGAGTTATTTACAGTGTGAAGAACACATTTTGGTATAAAACTTTGACAGAAACACACATATATATATATTAGTCAAAATATTATCTTGTGGGGCATTTGAACTAAGGGGAATCTTACGTACTTCTGGAGGTAGATTGAAACAAACTGATCAAACCTCAGGAGAACCTATATACATATCCAAGTCATTGGAGGGATTAAATCTAACTGGGCTTTCTTTCTCAGATTCTTGCGAGCCATCTAAGTTGGAGTTAATTGTTAAACCTCCAAGGTGTGTTCACTAGTACTCACGTAAGGTATTTGAGGTTCTTGAGGAGCTTGGTACATCAACAAAGCCTTTTGGAACCCCTCATCAAATGTATTGCCCATTGACATGAACTTGGTTATTACTTTGCCACGTAGTTGCTCCCGTTTAAGTTTCACATCTTCTTGGCAATTGGTGGACATGGCAGTTATGGCATTAGCTATTTTGGCATTCAAGTTGATGTGTTCCTTATCTTTCTTTTGAGCTTCTTTTGCAGCATGTTCACGTTTAGATTTGGTAGGTGAAAAGACGTTCATTAGAGTTTGTAGACCAAGGTTGTCACAAGGTGTGCTTCCATTCCTCAACTCACGTCTTTTGCCTAGAGATACGTTTGGTAAACATCCAAGTAATCTTTGCTCATGCCCAAGATCACTGTCATTTATTTTTCTTGTGTGCCACCTCCCGACTGTTTGAGCCTTCCTCCTTCTTGAAGATCTCCTTCACATCCTCATTGCCAGATTCCATATAGCCTTCTCTGGGCAAGAAATCATATTTAACATTGTCCTTATCATCTTCATCCTTGAGATCTAATTACACCAAACTATGTTTCAATTTTGGCTTTGAATCAGATGCTAAAGACTCAAAGGAAACATTTCCTAGAGTGTCATGAGTTGCCTCAGGAATTATGTTGGACCTTTCAAGCAGCACCAATTCCAAGAGACAATACCAAGGACACACTGCTATGGCTTTCTCTAAAGAAAATCATGAGCATCAGTAAGTTACCTGATGGAACATTTTGAGAAAACTTACCAAGAGCAGTACCGTTTGCAGGTACTTTACACTTTTTTGAATTGAGCTAACTTTCCCACCACTACCTTGTCACCATTGCTATCTACAGTGTGTGAAATTAAATCTAACTTTTCAAGCTCCTCCCTGTAATTGTCATTGTCAAGAACACCTTGGCCAGTCAAATTAATTTGTTTAAAGCCTTCTTTAAATTGATCTTTGAGGTACTTGATCTAGATGAATACATAAATAAAGATTAATCATAAAATAACATCAAAAACCATGAGGTGGGAACTGGCATGAGCAACGCTCAAACCTCATCGTAACGCGATGGGTTACGGTGGATAACCCATTGCGCTACGGACTCCCGTTGCCGGGACCTGCCGTATTGTACCGATATTGGGCAATGACAGTGGTCAAGACTGCACTTTGGTACGGTGGGGCCGTATCGTAACGTACCGCAATGACCATTTCAAGCTCTGATTTTGGTCATCGCGGTGGATTTGTGTATGAAAAAAAAATTCAAACGTAGCATTTGAATATTATAATAACGAGAGACATGAAAAAAACAAAGATAACATGTGTATATTATATTAACGAGAGACATGAAAAAGAACTTCAAAAATGAAAACAAGAAATAAAAAATGACAGACAAAAAGAAAGAAAAAATAGCAAGTACGGTATGAACGAAGGCATTGATCTACTTTGATTTCTTCTTCCTCTTTTCCTCTTGTTCTTCGTATTCTTTCAGATATTTCACAGCATCTTCAAACTTGTCAGTGGGTGTTATTCCACATTTGATCCACTCCCTACATCCCACCTTCCGAGTAATTGTATTGGGCAGGATTGAGCCTTGTCCAGGTGCAGCGACATCAGCAGCTGAAGAAAAGGATCGCTCACAACAGCAAGTAGTGGCTGATATTGAGAGGTAGTCGCGTGCCATTGACGCAAGCACCGGAAACGACTTCTCATGTTTCTGATGATAAGGTTTCGAAGATATCAGTTTCAATGCATGAAAAGATATAGAACGAACTGGACTCACCCTCCACCAGTCCAACGGCTTCTCGTCTGGCAAGATGCCAAACTTGCCAGATAAATAGTCAGCCAGCTCATGTTCGTATTGAGTTGAAGTTTGAATGTTGTCCGATGCAGCAGAAAACATGTCGAATTCGTCTGCTGCAGTTGGTACACTGGTTGGTTGAGCTGAAGGTGGCTCGGGTACATTCAATTTCCAATCGAAAAGCCTCTCCTCAAATACATCACTGATACAATCCTTAGCTTCGTCACTTGCAGAAGGATAAAAGTCTTGAAGAAATTTTAAACATTGTCGAGGGTTGAGAATTGTGGCAATCACAAAGATGTCAGTTCCCAAAGCCTCGTCCTGGTATTTCTTCAGCCACGATAACATCTCCTCGATGGCCCTGTTGATACTAGGAACCATAGTCTTCTCCTTCAGCCCTTCAAGTTTCTTCTTGATGCGTAGGTATTCTGCAAGTACCTCACATCCCGAAGAGAAATCGCCCTGCATTCGAAAAGTTGCATCTTCAAAAACCTTTGTGAGGAGAATTAAATATGTCAGACGCTGAGAAAATGATAATAATATAGAAATCTCAACACATGGACCTCAAGGACTGGATTCAAGGCCTCAACTGCCTCCCATTCCTCATTGCACAGGGAAAGGCCTCGATAGTACTTGTTGGTTTTTCGATCCTGTGAGGTCATAGCATTAAGGATCTATTTGATTTAAATAGCATTAGTTCATGGATAACCACATAAGCAATTACTTCATGTATGTTGATAATCCTTACTTCTTTTCCGTCACAAGCCCTACGCCGACTGTCGGCTTTGACGTTCCACCTCACTCCATAACCGACCGTAAGTACCTTGATCCCTTGCGCCTTTGCTTTAGCAGCAAAATAATTCCGTCTTGACGAACTTGAACATGTCAATTGAATGAGCTTGTCGACCTAGACATGGTAACCAGACTTTACATCAGCTCAGTCTCATTCCAGTCGATAAGAGCATTGCACCAACTTACTTTGTGAACACTACGAGCAACAATATCTTCCGATTGAATTCTGGTGTCTGATGGGTCCTCTGATAAACCTGAATCCTCGTGTATTTCAGGTACCAAGTTACCTTGTTCTTCGTCTGAGTCTTCAGATTCGACTTCGAACTCGCAATCGTTAACTCGAATTGATGGAACCACTAGTCCTGGCTGTGTAGTTGGCTTTGTATGTCCTGCACTGATATTAAGTGTCTTCAGTCCGTGACTCACCATTAGAGCAAGCTTGTGACAAAAGCATTTAACATGGCTCTTCTTGGGTGACCAATGAACGGGCGACTCGCATTCTTCAAATAGACGTGCCATTTCGCGCGCCATTGGGCCGTTGTTTGAACCAGAATCGGTTGTCTGTCCTATCATCTGAGAGATGCATAAATTAGATTCAAACATGACGTCGTAAAGATTAAAGATATAAAACAAAACAGACTCACCTTTTTATGTAGCCCGTGTCGAATGAGGTTTCGAGCTACTGGTTGAGCTAAGAGATCCCCACAGTGATGCCATGTGACCCACTTCAACGTCAAATGGACAGTTTGATACTTCCAATCATTGTCAATATAATTGACCATAACACCTATAAAAGCCATTCTATTTCCTTTAGTCGTCCAGCCGTCATGAGCCAATGAGAACATGCTTTTGTTATTCTAGATTGTTTGGAAGATGACTTAATCAGACAGAAAATCAACATATCATTTTAAAGGTCAATCTACTCACCTTTATTTTACTGATGACCACATTATATAATGAATAAAATAGTTCTTTTGCAGTGGTAGCTGCCCATGTCGGCGATCGGAGCTGAGCAGATCGATTGCTGAGTTTGAAAGCGGCTCGTAGAGTTGCGTCCTGAAAACGAAGCCAGGGGAGCGCGTGCCGAAGAATCCAGATAACCAACACCACATTTAACAATTCTACGCTGAAAGTGGACTGGGATAAAAATGATTTGATGGTATTGCTCGAATTGGTAGCAACTTGAACCGGTTCGTTGATTTCTTTCCAAGTAGCCGGGAGAGTTACGCCTGCTTCGATAGCTCTTTGGCGTCCTGGACAAGGTTTTCGTTTCTTATAACCGTCTCGATGTCCATAGAGATTTGAGTTTCCATCATCACCTCTGGTGAAAACTCCCTTGCACCATCTACACTCATAACTCCTTTTAATTCCCAAACTCTAGATTAATGTACCAAAGGTTAGATTATGTAGAAAACGTGTTCTAAATGATTATGACACACCTTCTCCTTATCATTGACATACTTTGGTGGTTTGTAGTATGATAATAAGAACTTGACATCATCAGTCATTGCTTGTCGGAAAGCAGTTTTTTTTCCTTCTCCATCGGTCACTTGATCAATATCGACATCATCAGGATGTGTGAAGTCCTGAAATATCAACAAAATGTATAAGTATCAGTCTCAAAACGAATTGAGATTCAATTTTGATTAATTATCTCGAGCAACATTACCTTGACAGCAGCGGTTGTCTTCTCCTTTGCCTGAGTTGAGCTCTTCTTCTTTTTCCTCTTCGGAGGTTTATTCTTTGTTGTTTTTGATTTGATTTGTGTTGGTGACTGCTCCCCGTTGCTGGAGTCGCTTCTTTCCTTATCATCTGAGGCACTGGCTTCTTCATCGGATGCACATTGTTCATTGTCGGATGAACAGACAATGACTCGCTTTGCTGGTCGACTCAAAGTCGTGCGTGAGTCCCCAGAAGTCGCGACGAAGTCGGATAGATCCTTTCGAAGTGGGCTACCTCGAGAAGAACGGCGAGTGGAATCAGGAGGGAAAAGAGTATTGGAAGTTGAACCACCTGCTGTTGAGTTGGGACCGGCACTATTCATAGTAGTAAAATTGAAGTTGAAAGATAAAAAATGAAATGGAGTAAATTGATTTAAGAAAGAGTTCCAGTCAGTGGAAGGTTGATAATATGGATTGAGATGGAGAAGACAAAAACAAGAGAATGGATCGAGAAAAGGGGAAGAATGAACTTACTAATAATGCCATCAATTAATTATCTGATTCACGCCTGCATCAGCTACGCAGGGAGTGATAGGACTGATCGAGATTGTGAGGGTCCTTGCGTCATCGACCAAAATTGGTCCACCACCAGAACTAGAACCCAAATTAAAATAGCTGCCCTGACCCGTAGTCAACCGTAACGAATACGGGTTTCACTACGGTCACCGCAATCAAATGGAGGTGTAATCGCGAAAAGGACCGTAAGAGCATCTCCTATCGTTCGAGTAAATTTTCAGTAAATTTTCTGTACGTAGGTGTTCGGTACAGTATCAATCGGTACAGAACTGTCGAAATCCACTATCGTTGGAAAGAAAGTGCCTCGGTACAGTACCAAATGGTGAGAACAATGGTTTCCCCGCAGATACCGAATCGGTAGAGGTCCAGTAAATTTGCTGGACCTCTACAGAATTTTGACCGATTCGGTGGATACCGAATCGTGTTTTAGACACGATTGGGGAATTTAAGGGTCGGTACAGTAAAATTTACCGTACCGAAGCCCTTTACCGAGACGATAGGAGATGCTCTAACCTATATTCCCTTATCAGGCATTACGGTACGGAAGCACCGTAATGCAAAATAGGCAGTTGTGGTACGGTGCGGCCCGTAGCGTACCGTGCCGCTGACCGTAACCATCACGCTGAGGTTTGAGCGTTGGCATGAGGAAAGTACCCTCTTGTCCACTTCTCTTGGTGTTTGATTGATTTGAAGAATATCCTTCATATGAGCCGCGCAGATTGCAGCTGCATACTGCAATCTTGCTCGGATTTTGACCTTTCCATGGTTGAAAATTATCTTCCTTGGCCAACCATAACACAACAAAATCAATGTCAGACAAGCCATTAGGTCGCTTCGCAAACCAAGAGGTTTGACCACTCTTTGACTCCTTGACAACCTTGATATCTGATTCCTTTGGTTGACCTTGTGTTTTCTTTAGGAAGTGGTTCAGCGGCGGGAGGGGTCTTTGATTTCATGGCAGATACAATTACTGATTGAGGCTGAGAACCTGGAGGTACAAGCAACAGAGCCACTATACTATACAGTATTGTGATACTGTAGTATAGTACTGAGTTTTCACTACTATACTTTGAAAGTATAGTATTGGACTACCTTTTTATATACTATACTTTCAAAGTATAGTACCGAAAACTCAGTACTATACTACAGTATTGAGTATAGTATAGTCAAGAGGGAAAGGCACCCATAATTCCATCGATCATCAATCCAGTTCCAAATGAAAATCCAACAAAACCTCAACGATTAAAATTCAAATCAAACTACTCAAATCCTCTCATCCTACATGAGTTATTGAGAACCCCATCTTTTCAATCTTGTCCTTCTTGACACTAAAAACAAAAAAGCATCAAAACATAAAAGAATAATCAATCCATCATTCGATCAATCATTGGAACAATCACACAAAGAAAATCATGATCAAATTAACAATGAACCAAAATTTAAACCAACCTCTTGAAAAAACTTATTGAAATCAAATCAAAACTTAATGGAATCGAATCAAAACTTATCATGAAATCGAATCAAAACTTATCATGAAATCGAATCAAAACTTATCATGGAATCGAATCAAAACTTATCGGAATCGAATCAAAACTTAGTGGAATGAAATCAAAACCAAAATCAAATCAAAATCAAGACTCGATCTCAAAATGAAATCGGAAGAATTGACAGCTGATTTCAAAAGTAACGATAGATTCAAATTCAAACAAAGGATGATCAATAAAGAGACTCGAGGTAATTTTTCTGATCGAGGGCTCTCATCCTCCATTGACTATCTCCATGTCTGATCCTATCTATCTCATTTGTAGCCAACAAGTGTACAAATTGTTTTGATTTTCATTGAAGTACTTGAAATTAACAAAGTAGGAGCTTGATTTTCTGTTGGGTTATGATAATAGATAAGCTGCAAGAGAATGAACGAGACAACTTTGAAACTATCTATTATCTAATGCCAATAAGGGGGAAAACCTTCAAGGGTCCCTTCATTCTTGATGCCTATATCAATTCTACATTAACATCAATTGATATAAAACAATGAAACTAGATGATGCTTGCTGTGTGATCTCTATAACATTCAAAACTTCCAGTCTACATGATTTCAATCTTGATATGAATTTAGAACCCTCTTCATACAAATTTAGAAACCAGGTCATCTTGTCAAAGCTTGTGTTTCAGCTTTGTCTTGTTGCTGACTTTGTTCCGTGATCTAAAGAGATGTTTTCTTTGATCATTTGTCAATCACAAGACCATGATTGACATTGTTTTCATACTTATAACAATATTTTACATACATACACGGGTGGGAGGATGAACTTGCAAGTCAAGGAGCTTTTTGGTTTTTGTTGTGGGTAAGTTGGTGAGGTGCTTGATGGGGAAAATCTCCTCATGAAGTTGATTGGTCATGCTGTGATTGATCATCTTATTGATTGTAAGGAGTTGTGGTGAGGTAAAGATTGTACTAGTACTACAATACTATACTTGGTATAGTATAGTATAGTATAGTATAGTGTAGTCAAGTACTATACTATACTATACTGTTGTTTGTTAAGTATAGTCTAAACTATACTATACCTGGTATAGTACTATACTGGTATAGTATAGTATAGTGGCAGTGTTGGTACAAGCTGACTGTGTGATGGGGCTTGCGTTGGAAAGGTAAAAAATCCCAGAGAGATCACTGGTGATCCACCATTTGCAAGAACCTGTAAACAAATCAAGTTGGCTCGAGAGAGATGAGCAGCAGGGGATCCTTCTCAGTTTTGATTCCCAAACTGGGGCAAGTTGGCAGGTAATATGGAGGAAGCTTCACAAAAGCTGCTGTACTAGATTGTGCTGCCTATCTGGTTAATCCCCTTGCCATCTTGGCTTTCATAAGATATTCCCACTACACAAGATTGTCATTCATGGGGCCAGTGGCACATGTGATACCAATGTTGTGAACTAGGACTCATGGATAAGACTAACATCACATGGTTCATTTGCAGTCAACTGAAAAACCCTTGTCAGAGATTCCTTGCCAATCTCTCTCACTCAATTCTTCCAGGAAAAATTTGGCCAGCCTGTCTAGATTCAATTGACTAGCGGCTGATTCAAGTGGCATAAGATCAGACACATGTTTGTTCTAAAGATCATCACTTGTCTGTGTAAAAGAATGAGAACATCCTAATAAACCAGTGCTAATTGTGAGCACTCTTCTCCACTTCAAGGTATGCAGACCTTATAAGAACTAACCTAAGTATCAGGAGGAAAAAGTTAAATAGTGAGAAACTTGATAATGAACTCAAAAGGCTCAAGACTAGATGATCTTATGGAGCTCTAACACATATAACAATATTAGTAAGATTAGTACATAAGGTGAAATGGTACTCACTCTCTTTCCAAAAGATGAGGAAAGAGAGGGAGATTGAGATCCAAACAAAACTATACATAGAAATGAAAAAGGAAGAAAAACATTGGGGAAGATTGACAACAATGTTATTGGGAATGATGTGCACAACACTTTTCTCAACTCATCTAATCAACCTAAACAATCACTAATCCAATCCTAAACCGCTACCTAAGTTTTATCCAATGATAAGTAAGTCATGTGTCTTGATTATATTTTGACAGTCTGTAGGTACAAAAAGTTTTGAAAACAATAATGCAATTGCAAAACCTTGCAACATAAGATATCCAAGTCACTAGAGGATAACAGATGATGGGGCTGGTAGTTAAATTCACTTGTGTACCTTTGAACAATTTGGTCTTGAATTCTTGTTTGAGGGAACTATTGAGATATCTGTGATGGTCAGCATGGCTACCTGATCATCCTATGAGATACTGTGATTTACTATTGTTGATTCTGCTCAGATGCTTTGGTCTGTCTGCTTTACATCAACCCAACTGTTACAATATATATTGTGTATCAATGGCTTGGAAAGGTGAATGAATTTTGGAAAAAAGCATACACACATTCCAGGGTGTTGACCAGTACTGTCCTTTCATGTGGATAGATAACTAAAGTCAAGGACAAAGACAAGCTGCTTATCAAATCCAGATTTACACCACCAAAGGGTTTGACAGAGCAAAACACTGTGACCAGTCAATTTACAAAAGCTTGCTCAATTTGGCACTCAGAACTCAAACAAATTGGTTGGGAATTGGTTTAAAGCTTTTCTTAAATGACTGTACATGTATAAAATATTGGTTCAAGTAGGGGTAGGTTGTAGGAGGGTTTCCCTGTTGCGGGCATATTCTCTAGTATTATACTAATCTTTTACAAATTATACATATCAAGACTTTCAACAACAATTTTTTTCTTCTTCTTCTTCTTCAGTTTCAATCAATCAATCATAAACAACAACAAAGAAACTCAAAAAAAAACAAAAAAGACTATTATACTAATTTAAAACACCTTGTCACATTTTTTTTCATTTTTCACAAATCCTACATATTGATAATATATCTTAATTTTTTAAAATACAGAAGGTAAACTTGGATCTTCTTGATGATGGTTTTTCACCACTTGATCACTTTCTTTTTCTAATGGTCTACTCCATTTCTCAGGTACAGCTACCTAAAAAACCCCCTCAGAAAAAAACAATATCAATTTCTTATCTTTCCACCAAAAAGAAAAGAGAGATCCTTTGGAAGATCCTTGGAAGCAAAAAAAACTTACAAAATACGTTTCCATGGCTTTTTTAAACCGATTAGCATATTCAATCGGAGGTAAGATCGTGACTTCTCCTTTTTTATCCGAACTTTTCAAAACCATTTTACCTCTAGACTCCAACATCTTAGCCAAATTAAATGCTAAAAAAGAAAAAAACCAAAAAAAAACATCAAACTTGACATTTCAAAAAGAGGGGTTTTTTTCGAGAGACTTACTTCCAATCACATCAATCATCCCCACGACCAATTCTTTTCTTAAATCATCTACTCCAACTAAAAGTGAATAATCCATCACGTTACTTTCAGATAAAAACTTGGTATCATTTTCAATCGCATTCGAAATCACATGTTTAGAATGAGGATGAATCAATAATAAAGTTCGAAGTGAACCTATATATCCATCAAACCAAAAAAAAAAGTTCAACAAAACGAAAAATCAAATTGGATTGGATTTGAAATTCTCTTACCTTCAATCCAATCAGCATCCCAACCAGTTCCACCATCCTTTTCGTCTTTCTTAACTTTAGCCACCCTAGAAGTAATGCCTTTCAAATCAAATTTACGTGTGATAGTTTGACCATAAAACAAATTTTCCATCAACAAGAGATCCAACTTAATCAAATTGGAATCATTCTTATGACTACCCAAAACCTTTTCTTTAATCTTAATCGTAAAGAATCCAAAGATTTTACAAATCAATGAAGGTTTAATTAATGTTTGATTTGATAGGTAAGCAAAATAATTAGGTGCAAATGATAATAAACCTTCTCTTTCTGATTTGTTCCAATTAGTGATCATACCTTTTAAGATAAACCGTTGATCGTTTGTAATAAAGAAATTAGATGATGATTTACCTCCAGTTGTATTCCATGTATTACATCTAGATAACGATTCGATTAAAAACTCTTCACTTACTCCACACCTTTGTCTAATCTCTTTAAACTGAGCTGCATGCCAAATCGTACATGAAAACTCTTTGGTACCATGTTTAAATTTATATTTAATATGTGGTGAAGCATTTGGGTTCGTCGAATCTGGATCGATTCCATCAAACTCTTTTGAATCCATACCACCACCACCACCAGTCGTAGTAGTAGTACTCCCACCCGTAGTAGTCCCACCACCTTGTTTCATCTTAATACTTCCTCCAAGTGTCCAAATCGCTTGTAAAGGTGCACTAAGAATTGAAGAATGAGCTGGTCTAGGTTGGGATGGCATCGATTGTGATGGTTGAGCTTTCGATAACATTCGACTAGCCGGTGGAGTTTGTTGGGTTTCAGAATCGTTTTGATCAAACGAAAGGATTTCAAGTTCATCTGCTTTTTCACTCACCACTTCTTTCATCGATGTGGATGGTGGTGCTGGTTCAATCACTTTCTCTAAATCTTCAATCGATACTTTCGATTTAATACTACTTGCACGTGATTTCATCATCACATCTAAATCTCCTAATGTATCTGCATGTGAAATCGAAACGGTTGAGACTTCAGCTTTTGCTCCTCGACTCAGTAAAGCAGCTACCGGTCCTGGTGCCACTGAATTCGGTTTAGCAGTAGCAGATGATGAGATCGGACTGGTTTGAGAGCTAGTAATCAAATCATCCAAGATCTTATCATCACCTCCTTCATTCATCATCAATAATGATTGGTTAACATCAAACATCGTCATAGGATCTTGAGTCGCGTTCTTTGCAGCCGGTGTGTTGATCCTTGATCCACCCCCACCAAAGGCTCTAAAACTACCTACATCAAAACTTTTCTGTTTCGAAAGTGATCGTAATGAAAGTATCCCAGTGTTCTGTTTAAAAGGTTTCTTAAGCTTAGCTCGTCCTTCAAAACTACACTCTTTTCCAAACGTCGCTTGATCATCATCAGGATCATTTGTATTACTCTTCTGATTAAGGATATGGTTCTGACCGTTATTCGGAGTGGATTTCATTCGTGGTGATCCAAGTGGTGAAGCCTTCCCACCCAACGGAACATCTGGTAATTCTTCAGTACTCGACAATAATGCAATTGGCAAACTAAAGTCGCGTTTCGCAGCATTATTATTGATCCCAGGTGGACTAGGGATCGGTGTTCCAAACACATGTGATGAACTTCTTGAATGGTTAGACAACGATCCTGGAGTAGATGCCCGTTTAGGATGACTGATGGACGACAATAAGTTTTTGTAATCAGATGAACTGAGTGTGAAGGCAATGATACTTGAAATCTCAGTTTCCCTAATGATGATAGATGTATCAGCCGGTAGAGCGTGTATCCCAGGTTGACAATAGATCGGTTCCAAGAAATTAGCTTCCCCAAGCTTCTGACGACCATCAGGTCCAGTCAAGGTCGACAAATGTTTCTTCTCCCACGTCATCAATCGAGCCTTGGATCGAACAATCGTGTCGAAAAATGGTTTCCTTAAACTATTGAGGTCAGATGGATCAAGCTCTGGTAATTGTGACCTGAGCTCACTTTCTTCCTTCTCAAACGCTTTAATCAGATTCTTCAATTGACCACGATGATCCGTCACAGCAGCCTTGATGGTATGACTTCGACCTCGCGAGATCCCTCCACCAGCTAGAGTTTTTTCTATCTTTTCCTCTTCTGTTATCACACTTGACGTAGACTCTTTATTCACACTAAGAGTCACCCGATTAGTTTCAGGATCTTCAGGCAAGGTTGACGGATTCACGCGTTGCTGAACAAGATCTAGTCGTTGATCACGTCTAAACAAAAGATCATCAATCATCGAAGTACGAGTGTATAATGAACTAAAAAACCCAGTAATCTCATCTTCAAGTTGTCGTATTGAGTCATTCTGATGAGAATCAAAAGTCGGACGACCCGTTTGTATACCATCATCCCTGATACTCTGATCAATAGCAGTAGGTAACCTCAACTCAAACAAACTAAGAAGAACAAAGCAAAGAACGTAAGTCATGAGCAAAATAGATAAGAACACAGACGAATTGAAATGTAATCACTCGACCGTTTCTAAAGCAAGTTTAACACGAGCTTTACCCTTTGAAAAGAACCTAATCAACGCATCTTGACGTTCAGTCCCATGATCACACAAGTCTTCAGGTGCCGGAACAAAGTTTCCATCGTATAGGATCAATTCAAGGTATTTGGCGAATGAAAACAACAAAGTAGCTTCCGAACAAACGACAGGCTGAGTCATAGCAGGACGAAAAACAAGTCAGTTTGTTCAATCTTCCGTGACATCTTAAAGAAATTCACTAACCTTAGTACACCTCCCACATATCCTACATTTCGTCCACATCACAATCTCATGATCACTGAGACCTTCCTTATAGCTCGATGAAAGGTTTTGTACATCTACCATCCCACCATCACTAGTACTACGTTTCAAACCTTTATGATCACTCGTCAAGTCTTCATCATGGAGTGATGATGGTGTACCTTTTACAACCGCTAATTGGTCCTCTACCGATACAATGATTCGAACAGTATTGTGAATCAGAGAAATCACATGATCTCCCATTCTTTTCCCCCCGCATTTGCCAGCTATACCAGACTCTTGAACACATAGTTGATCACGTTCATCGACCAACTTACTGACTACCTGACCTACAGTACCCGTTAACTTATATTGAAGCCCGCGTGTGTCTACGACGGGCTCATTGGTATTATGATGTCCCAAAAGCTCAGCTACAGCTCCTAGGCCCATCAAACTTCCTACATTAAAACCATTCTCTTTCATAGGAAGAGCCGTAGTCTTTTCCCGTTTGCCTTTTCGCTCAAGAAGATCTAAAGCTCGTGGATTGAGACAGAAATCTTGATAATATTTCCAGGTTTTCCAACTCGGTGATTCACATGCAGTCGTACCTGGACTCGAAAAAAGACTAGACTTTTCACACAAGAATTGAATAGATTGGTGGCGTAGAGTTCCATCTAAAGATGAGTTGTTGGTCATTAGGGACGCAAGACCAGCACGAGCATCGACGGCTATCTTGCGTTGTTCGAGAGGTTTTCGAGGACGCGGAGATTGGCTGAGAAGGGTATTAGGGTGCAGAGCATCTGCTGCGGTCTCACGAGGTTCCATTACTTGAGCATCCTGAGGCGGTTGAGAGGTGGGGACATTTGGTGCAGATAACACGCTTCGAGGAGACTGAGGAAGGGGTTGTGATGCCTTCTGAATCCGAACAGGCGTCGACTCAGCAGAGTTTGGCAAAGAGTTGGTTTCTGCAAATCTGTTCGATAAGCATTCTGCATCAGCGGTAGCAAATGATCTTTGCCTGTCTAACGGTGTTGGTCGAGTTGAACTGAGTTCAGACAACTTCGGGGGAGTGATCTCATCGTTTGCTGGAGTGATGAGAGGTGATCTTGCTTCACTCGAATTAGCAAAATCTGACGGTTGAGGAAGTATATCGGTGTTCGAAGTGAATAGTGATATTTCTGCAATCTCTTGTTGGCGTAGTCGTACAAGAAGATGAGGCGGTGGAAAGACGACATCAGGCGAAACTGACAAGATAGCGCGATTCATCTTTTCAATCACCCTTTCAAATCGACCAACGATGGGCTGATTGATCGGACTGTCGAGCTCGTGCTCCTTTTCGCTTTCATCCCCCTGAACCTCATCTTCTGTCTCAGGTAAATTTTGTGCTGCGGGCAATTGAGTCTCGATCGATGTAGGTTGAGAAGCTTCGTCAGTGATTTCGGCCATCTTGGTAGGGGGTCGGTGTGCTTTCTGAGATGCTGAACGCGCTGCTTTGAAATGTAGAAATGTATTCGAGAGTCTGGTCACAAACGTCCGACTCTTCGGTTTATCAGAGCTGCCTAAAGTTGCGTCCGGAGATGGCACTCGGTTCTCTGTTGGCCTCTCAAGCTGATTATCAAGACTGTCAATACTACAGCTTTCGTCACCGCCGTGTCCACCTGCATCAGTGGTATCACCGTCATCAGCGCTATCACGTCGGGTAAGACCAGATGGACTGTCTTCAAAGCCAGCAACCAGCTCCCATTCGTCACTTTCAGCATAACCTCGGCGTCCAAAGCCACTTCCACGACCATAGGTATTGTAAAAGAAACTTCCGGGCATGATACTCATTTCCTTGGATGTACGGTGGTATTTGGTGGGAGAGGATTCCAAGCGTTTCTTAATCCGCTGCGCAAATCGTTTTCTAGCTGTAGGGCTAGATTGACTTGCAGGTGAAGATTTGGGTGAGCGTGAGGAGCTAGGAGTCTGAGTACTGGCGATCGACTTTTTGGGGGTAGGAGACGTCGTTTGATCCGGTGTGACGGACTTGGGGTCTTCATCGGTATCAGCTTCATCCCCGCTGATGATTCCATCATGTTCTGATGCTTCACTCATTAACCCATGATGATTATAGTGAGGTTGATCAAGAGCTGGAGAAGCAGACGGTACAAAAAACGGATGAGCATGAGACTGAGCCGGTTTACCAAGTAGCATGCTCCATAATCCTGCCTTTGACCATTTAGCTCGACCAGTGATGGATGCTGAACTGCTATTCAAGGACGAACGCTGGAATGTGGGTGAAGTAGAATGCAGAGGGTCTCTATATGTTTGTGGAGATTGAGGGGGTGTGGCGTAATCAAGTGAAGGACCGGGAGAAACCAAAGTGGAGGGCAAAGCATCGACGGGAAGGGTTTCAGATGGTGAAACAGGTAAAGATGTGGAGGAGGCGACTGCTGGAGGCGGCGGAGATAGCCAATTCGAGTCAGCAGTGATGATTGAATACTGTGAAGAGATTGAATGTGGCAGTAGAGGTTTGCTTGGTGGGCCAAATAGGTTCGAGGGAGAATGTGGTTGGTTGAAGGTGGTTTTGGACTGTGGAGGGGTATCTTGCGCAAATGCTATATGAGGTGTGTCTTGAGCAATCGGTGAAGGCATGAGATCGTCCAAATGAGGGTAAGGTGTGCTAAGTCCTTTATCAGCGTCTGATTCCATTGGACGCGGTTCCTCGCATTGTTGTGAAGAAAGAAAAACCGGACGAGAGCAAAATGCATCCCGACGCACATGGACTTCTAGCTTCATATTACAAGCGGCAAAGATCTGTGAAGAAAAGTTGATGAAAAAGAACATTCAGTCAGATGCGTTTTAAAGGTGGATCTGGGAAAACACTAAAAGGACAAGATAAACATGCCACCATCAATTTACCGCTAATTCAATCACTTTCTTCAACTTTCGTAATTCTCGACCTGGTCCTTTGAGGGTGATCGTACCTCCAATCAGTTCGGTACGCACTCGAGCCATTCTTCCATCTCGTAAAGTGACCATCAGAGGTTCGAGTGAATCACCACTATCTCCACCCAGTAAATCTGACATCTTACAAGAAGAGTCTGAAAACAATTCAACAATGTCTGTTTGGCCCATGATCCTAGGTCGAATGGATTTAGATGTACTCGCTTCGGGTAGATTGGATGGCTGGGTCGAGTGATCTTGTACAGGGGTGGGAATTGTACACCATTGATTGGGTTCAAAACTTGCTTCGCGTTGATTATCAAGTGGTTTGGTTTTGATCCGCTTGAGATGAAATTTAACGGCGCGCACAGTGATCTCTACAACATCAGATTCACCGATCAAAGTATCTAGATTAGGGGATGCACAAGATTCCGAGATTGGATGATCGGGACGAGAGTCGATGATCAATTCGGATGTTCTAGCTTTGAGAGTTTCAATCAGAGTAGATCTAGAGATAAGTTCTGGTCTTGAGTGATTTAATGAAAGTGAATGTTCTGGAAGCCATAGTTCAGGTGGACTTGCAGTCTGAAGAGCAGTGACAAAGAGAGAAGGTGATAAGTTTGGTCGATCTTGTTTGGTCTGAGTGGCAAGAAGGGCATCTGGTGACTTTGAGCGATTGAAATCAGAAGATTGAAGTGCAGGAGAAGAATCCTTTTGATCTTTAACTCTAGTAGTGAACAGACCACTTCGAGTATGAGATAAAGGATGAGGTGAATTAGGATTTGATTTGTTTCTACGTAGATTAGATTGAATATGTTTCTGATTGAATTCTTGAAGTGATTTTGATAAATTGAGTTTTGTACGTTGAAGTTCGGTTATGATTTGATCGGTAAAACAATCCAGTAGATCTGATTCGATGATTCTAAAGAGTTCATTTGCCCAAAAGAATTGATGATTGTTGGATGGATTGAGATGATGATTGGTTTTTCTTTTTTGATGATTTAAATTAGAAATCAAACCAGCATTTTCAATAGATTGATTGATGATAGAATAAAGATGAGATTTTGAAGATTGATCCAAGTTTAGATTAGATTGAGATCTTGGAATAGGATGAGGTCTGATAGTATGACTGTGATGATTTGATTGTTGTTGATGAAGTAAGTTTAAGTTAGTGAATGAATTTGGAATTTGATCTGAACTTGACTTTGGATGGTTCATGGTGATAGTGTTGATAGTGTTGATGATCGATGGTGGAAAGTGAAAGTGATAAGAAATTCAAATCCATTTGATGATCCATTCACTTTTCGATTTCTGGAAATTATCATCAACACAGCATTACAATCAATCTCATTACACATTACACATACATTACATAATCACCCTCTAAACAATCATCCCATTCTGACTACATATTCATACAAACAATTGATCACCTGCACTCTCTATTCATAAACTATCCTATCTCCAGCCGTCTTATGATTGCCTTTTTCATTTATCTAACTGGCTCAATTCGATGTAGCCATGCTCTTTGATTTCCTTATCTAGTTTTGCTATTTTATGGAAACTTTCAATTACCAAATTACCTTTCTTGGATCTTTGTTTCCTATGTACAACAGGATTTGTACAATTGCGTTGTTTTAGCTGTGATTATGTAAGTCTAATTTCCTTGATGAGCTGATCACTTGAATTTCCATTTTGAGGCGGTTTTGTTATTTACACAATATCATCATAGAACTTAACTCTGGACTACAATAGGTGTCAATGCTTTTGATCTTCAGTCGATTCCTTCATGGTAAACAATGAAGATGAAAGACTTCCACATATTTGGGAAATTTCTTTCATCCTGTCAATTTTCTTGCTTCTGTTCCCTTTGCAGGATTTTTGAAGGAGCGAAAGCGCTGCCTGCAGAGAGAGAATGGACCTAATGGCTTGATATCAACAGATTGTGAGGGCGGCGACAGCCTCCGGGGCCTGTACTTTAAAAAACAGTGCCAGGGTAGATATTGTATTGCAGCTTTATCTTTTTGAGCTACCTTGATGTTAAGATCCGGTCATGGCGAAACAATGAATATAGTCAAAGCTTCAAAGTAATTGGCACTATTCACCATTTTCACAGCCTACCCTAATTACAAGCAGGTATCATTGTGATCCGTCAACACAGAGCGGTAAACCACAGAAACCTAGAAAATATAATAAAGCCCAGGAATGCCAGCTCTTCATCCAAAAAAAGACCTTCAGGGGTGGTCAAAATTGAAAATATCATAAGCAGTGCACAAACAGTGAGATAGTTTTTGCTCAAGCCATACTCGGATTTTCAATACGTCTTCAAACTTCCAACATACGCTTAACAAGAAAGTGTGAAAGTTGAACAGGTCGAGTTCTTTTGCTCTACCCTAGGGATGAGAAGCAACCTCAACTCCTGGTCTTGCCTTTCAGTGAGCTCCAAATCGAGCTATTAAAGCCTTTTCTATATAAATCACCAGCGTTTGCGCACATCATTGTGTTCAGTTATGCCAACTGGCGCCTAAAATACCAACAGACATGGTCGAAAACCTAAGAAAACCTCTTTAATTTCTGGAAGTGAACCCTATGAAATGATCTCATAAAACTCTCTATCACCATGATGACATGTAACCCAATTTGGCTCGCACTGAAGCCAACCCTGAACCTTTCCCTCAACACCCTTACCACTCAGTATTTTTTAGTGGTTCAGTATCGTTCACGCTGATAGCTGCAGTGTTTGATAGCCACCTAACTCCAACAAAACTCGAAGCAACGTAACAAAAAAACTATCATGTACCTTAACCTTTGTTGAAAAGTGGACGGGTCAGCATAAAGCCTTTAGTCATCACGTTTCATTCTTGCACTGCGCACACAGGTTCTCCGTCGTACAAAAGAGGCTTCGTTGCAACAAACTTTGTTCCGCAAAAAAGAGTAAAATATGATCAAGAAACCGAGTTCCAGAGAGATCAGCATTTCCAAAAAAAATCATCTTTCAAAAGCAATGCTGCACTATTTGACCACAAGTTGCTCCAATTTGATAAAAAGGTCGGATTATTATATTTCTTGCGTATTACCACATCTGCATCGATTTAACATGAAAACAAACGTATTATTCACAGAAATACCAAGATGGTCCATGTTTTATCTGATTGCAGGGTCATCAAGGCAGATTCAATATAACTTCAAAGATAAGTACTGGAGCAAGTTGTGTACAAGAGATGATGTCCTGATTCATCTCGAGGTGTTGTATGTTGTACCAACTATTCACCAAGAGTGAACTCCTTGACCAGTAAATTAGTTTGAAGTGCAATAAGATTTTTGGTGACTTGGGGACAGATCTCCACTTGAGGAAAGATCTCAATATAAAAGAACTTCTGTCTTTATATCCCGTGTCCAATTTTTATTGTTGGTTAACAAATTGCTTTCTCAGTATTATCACTTCAAGTCACACCTAGCATTAACCACATTTCGATTTACACATTGATCAATATGTTCAAAAACCTTTTTTTCGCTGCATTTGTTGGTTCACTTTTGATTACCTTTGCGTCGTCATGGGGAGATGGTAAGTTTGGATATACGTTATATCAGAGCTTTATGTTCATGCTGAACCGTCAATTTGACAGATATGTATACAATGGAAACCAAAGTTGAAGACACATTAGCAGAAGAAGTCGGAGAAGCATTTTTAAAGTACATGAGGGGTCCACCCTTGAGAAATGAACCAGTTGAGGAACTTTTTTCAGACGAATGTGTAATCAAATCAGGAGGAAAGATTGTTGAAAAGAAAGGTAAATACACATTCTCACTGTGATCTTACATCCTTTGCAATTTAATCCAAACTTATCATGAACCTGGACTATCAGAATTTTTTAATAGAGTTCGCTCCGGTGATTTTAAGCACTTTGGATGGAAAGCCACTGATTCTAAACGTAAGTCCGTATTCACCTCTGAGTTTTTTTCGATGTTCTTTTCTATGCAAACATGGAAAGGAAATCATAAGACAAAGATCCGCAGAAAGAATACATCATATACCAGTGGTATCTATGTAGCATCTAATCGTCTCATATCAGCCTGTAAAGAGAGCTGAGTGATGGTAACACCTGCTTCAGCGTTCAGGTTCACCTAATTGGTCCACCTCAAAGCATATTCTGTTCACTGGATATATATACCTGTGTTCTTCACTAAAACGATGTGCTGACATTGTTTTCTTGAATATTTACACTACAGCATATATGCAAACGCGCAAACACATGGTCCTTCTTGGTTGGTACTTTGAAGATTGTGTCATGAAGGTTGGCCTTCATAAAGAAAAAGATTACAAGATTTACTTTTTAGAGCATCTACCACTTCAAGGATAATTTGCTAGATTTCTTTGACCCTATGATACTTGTCAGACTATTTAAACAAATTTAAGTACATAGAAATACCATCTCTTTAGTGTCTAGCACTTGAAAATCCCCATGACTTGTTCGGGAGAAGTGAGCCTTTATTTCTTTTAGAAATCGTTATTGAGAAAAAAGCTACTATGGGCTTGGGTTCATTTTCCGAATTATGGTTTTCACATTTTTAACTTGTCACAAGCTTCTATGTGTGATCTCTACGTCAGGTGATTATCAGGCTCCCCTTGAAGTTATCGAGGTACATGTCTTTCGTCTGATATGCCAAGCCTCTATACGATCACGATAATGCTGAGTGTGGCGTAGAGCGACAACACTTGGAAAACGCAGTGATGTCAATGACAGTAAAGGATGAGAACGCTTCTGATAAAATGAGTGGGTTTTTTATACTTATCTTCAAGTATCAATCTCAAGTTTGCCATACTTTACTCCAATCTGTTGGTCAAATATTTGGTATATAGACTGCTACGCATCTAGTGTCAAGAGTACCAAGACAAACACTTATGGTTTGTGCAGGGTACTTATTCCTATGGAATATGCTCTTCGTCATAGAGAGCTGTGAATGTGGAATTGCAAGATCTGCGAGCTTGAGCTGGCTATATCTCTTCAGCTTCTTCGGCAGCTTTTCGCGTTCAAGATGAGAGAAAATATATGTCCTGTCCAATCTTTGCAGCGTACGAGCTGCCAGGCCCTTCGTAACAGGGGACTCTCTATGCGCCCCATTGATGCCCTGTCAAATATCCTTTTAAGCTCTTCCTTTCCATGAGATAAGTCTATATACAATGGTCAATAAAAGGCCACAATCTGGCATTGGCAATGGCATGTTTGTGCAACAGCCTCAGCGCCCAACCCCGAGTGACACCACAACCTGATCAAGAGAATCGACCGGGCCTTTTTGAAGTCGGGGCGGGAGTTTTGAACTTCTCCCTGTATGTGTGTTGGCGCCAAATCGTTGTAAACTCTTCAACATATCGACTTTGGGAACAAACCACATCACACTCCTCGTAACAACTTCAAGCACGACTTGAAAAGAAAACTTTGACGCGTATAAAATAAACGATTTGGATAAATTGAGATTCACATTGAAAATCAAGACGAAGAAATCAAACTAGAAGTAGAACTAAAGGACGAGGATGGTGAATACAAATTTCCCAGTACCCAATACGATCCCTGGACGACTTATAACAGATCGAGATCACTTACGAGCACTCAAACAACATCTCGGTCAACTTTGTTCTCTCAATGGAGCTCAAAGGTAAACAGAATCCAAACCCCCCGCAAAAAATAAGAAAAGATCATCATAAATTGGTATTGATTACATTTCTTTCTGGTTGAATCTTCCGACTATCATAGGTTTCCAGGATCACAACCTGTTAGTTTCACCTACCACTCACTTGATTTGCTCGAAAGTGAAGAGTTAAGCTTTGAAAATTATTTAAAACTTCCGAAGAATCAATACAGAAAGATTAACGACTTACCAATCCATCAACCCTCAGTTTTTGGGTATGTGAAAAATCTGATGGTGTTAGGGTGATGGCTTTAGTGGTGATTGCCGATCGAAAAAGCTTTTACTATGGTCCGACTGAAAATGGTAAACAAGAAGTTTACTTTGTACGTTCTTCTTAAACCAGATTTTCATCGTAGAAAATCCTTGCTGATCATCACACTCCCTCTTTACTCTGTGTTGCTGAATTGTCACCAGATCAATCGACGTGATGAATTCTTTTTAGTCGACCACATTGCATTCCCTCACTACGAACATCAGAATAGGTACTTGAAGGATACTATAATTGATGGTGAATTAGTGATTGATGTTGAACCCAAAATTGGACAGGTAAATACTTTTCAGTTGTTTAATCACCTACCTAAAAAGATAATCAAGCTGATCTGACATTTTTCATCACTTAGGTCCTGAGGTTTTTGGTTTTTGATTGTATCGCTCTGGAGGGACAAAATCTGATGCACAAACCTTTGAACAATCGATACGGTGTCAGTCTTTTTCCTGGTTTTTCAAATATACCTTTTACTAAATCTGAGATGATTTATACAGCGACTGAAAGATTGGGTGATCGCCCCTTTGAAGAAGATGTTGGCCGCTCAACCTCACTTGCGGAATACCATGCCATTCGAGTGCGTTACTCTTTGAATCTTATTTCGGTCTTGATGAGTTTCACTAAGAATTTGAATTTGATAATAGTGTCAAACTCAAGTCAATGGAACTTGCTTATGGGATTGAAAAAGTCCTACTGCATGATTTACCTAAGCTTACTCATGGGAACGATGGCTTGATCTTCACAAGTGCCTGCTCACCCTACAGGATCGGCACTGATCCAAAGATGTACGTGTCTTACTGCAGGTTTTCATTCCCGTGGCTTGTACTTATTCTAAAAGGAAAATCAGTTGAGCAAACCTACGGTATTTCTTAGCTTGAAATGGAAGCCACCATCCGAAAATTCCATTGATTTCAGGCTCGAACTCCGATTCCCTCCTCGTGCCGATGATCCAACTGAAGCGGATTTCTTTGGGAAACCGATCTTTGTTCTCATGATGAATTGTGGTAATGATGGCGAAACGTTTTTTGATACATTGGAGATGTCCGACCAAGAGTGGCATGAGTTGAGTGCAGTCTGCTGTAATCGTAAACGGAAGAGTCATCCTGAACTCTATCTCTCATTTGAAATACACTACACACAGACGAAAACTCCGTCGAGAGCAACTTGACAATAGAGTGGTGGAAGTAGTCTGGAACTCTAAATTACAAACTTGGAAGATTCTGCGGTTTAGAGATGATAAGAAAGACGGAAATTATCGTTCTGTGGTTTATTCTATCATTCAAAGTATTCAGGATGGAGTTGAAGCGGATGAAGTGAGGCTATTCTTTGTTATTCATCTCTGATTGGTGAATATCTTTGAGCTTATTTGCTTCTTTATCATTTCCATAGCTTTCGAAGCGAGCCATCAGAATCAAACAAGCGTGGAAAGCTAGGGCTGAAGGGAAACCCAATCCAAATGCACCCATAGCTTCAGCCCAGAGGAAAAATGCAAGCGGGAATCAACAGAAACCAAAACATTCAGGCGGCATTCAGGGTGGTGACCCTAGCACTCGAGGAAAATTTGTTGCTTTACCCTCGATGCCTGTACCAGGGACTATGGCCTGTAGACTGAAGCGCGTATAATATGATTTTGAAATTTCTTCCAGATCTCTCGGTTGGTTTTGTTTCATGTTATCTGATTGCTTCAAGGATTTAGACTCGTTACTATAACATTCAGAGCCGATGCCACTCTTACTTGATTGCATGTTTTCAGTCTTGTTGTAATACCTAAATAGGAATAGATATATAGAACAAGGAATCTTTGTGGCCGGAATCCCGGATACACAGTAAAAGGGATAACCTTAATTGATTATGAGATATTTGTGTGTTTGTGCCCTTGAGCCATATTGATACCATTGATCATTGATAATGGCTAATTGGTTGAATGGGAACTGTCTATCTGATTGGGCACATAAGAAGTGATTGAGTAGAAGTTGAACATAAATAGAGGGCACATTGACAGCACCTACATATTATTATGATGACAACAGTCCGAGCGGTTCAGTCATATCCTGGGACCCAACGTGGTGCCCCCAGAGACAATACGCAGTCTTGATCAACTCCGCTGCAAGATAAATTCCAAGATATTGCAAACAAAGAGACAAACAAATATTGATCAACATTTTCGGAATCCTCAATAGAAATTCTTTTCTTTTTCGACATTTTGAGGCTCCGCGATAAGAGTAGCTTCATGTTGTTGATCAAAGCTCAATGATCATACATACATAAAAGTTTTATACATACTTCATCACATAAAGTATGATTCAAGCTAGATTTTCTTGAATGATCTTTAATTCAAATCCTCATCTTCAAAACCCAAAAATAAGATAACCCTTATACAAAACCCATCATCATCACCGAAAAAAATGTTTTGAATAAGTTGACCAATAAAAAATGTAATGTTTACTTTCTTTGTTCTTTTTGCAAATATTCACAAAAACCGGTCAACCAAACAAAAAAAAACTCGAAAATTAAACAAACAAAAATTCAAAATTCAAAAAAACAAAAACAGTCACACAAACACAAACACATATAGTAGAGAAAAAACCCTTACATATGGAATTGATTTTTTTTTCCTTCACACAAATTCTTAATAATTAAGAAAAACAAGAACAACAACAAAAAAAAGGAACAACAACAACAACATAAAAAAAGGATAATACTATATATATTATATTTTTTTCCTTTTTTCAAAAAAACAAATTTACCAACATTATAGTAAAGAGAAAAAATCATCAACTTTTTGTTTTTTAAGAAACACAAGATCATGCCGGAATCTCAACTTTTCCTTTTTTTCATTTGATAATGATACTCTTGATCCAAAACTTAGTCATGCCCATCATCACTAGAAGAAGCTTTACGTTTCAAACTATTCGATCCTTCTCCTCCTCCTTCACCATCTGTATTAACATTATTATTATTATTACTACTGTTATTATTATTATTTGTAGTACTAATATTACTATTAGTATTCCCATTATTGTTTTCTTCATTTTTAACTTGATGTTCAGGATAAAGACTACCAGCATGTATATAAGGTTCATCATTACTTTCATTAGTAGTAGTAGTGGGTGGTACGATCGGTGGTAAACCAGTATAAGTTGATGATGAACCTCCTCCTCCATTTCCTCCTGCTCCGGGCGGAGTACTAGCTTGACGGTTTAATGGTGATGGTGATGAGTTTGGGTTTCCACTCGGTTGTCCACCGATCGTTCCAGAATGATTGGTTTCTTCTATGGTCCCACCACCTCCGCCACCTCCTGCTTTCGATCCTGTTTCTTCTGATTTCTGTTGTCGGTATCGCTCTGTATACTGCCGCAGAGATTCTATTTTTTGTAATAGGATTTTGAAAAGACGGTAATGGATTAGAGCTACCGATACATGTACTAGTACTTCAACAACGAATAACAAAGGGTTTAGAAAATTTACCTAATGGTGACAAATTATTATCAACTGCAAAACCCATCAGTGGTGCTAATTGAGCCACACTCTCAATTAACTAAAAGAACCCACCCCAAAAGTATCAATTTATCAGTCCCGATTGATCGTACCATCAAAGGAGCAATAAGAAAAAGACTTACTTCTAAACACCTCATTGATTTTTCAGGAATTCCGAATGTACCAACTGGGCTCATCGGAACCCTTTGAGATTCCCATTTGACCGTCTTGATAGCAGCAGCAGCGGCAGCAGCAGCAGCAGCCACTGCAACAGCTTGTTGAGCTTCTGCCATTTTTCTTTCTTCTTCTGCTAATGCTAGACTCCGTTTTCTCGCTGCTGCACTTCCAGATTGTCTTCTTTTAGAATTCGTTGGTTTAGGTGATGGTGTTGGATTATTAGATTCAGTGGTAGGTGGTGGTAATGGTATTAATGGATCAGGAAGTGATGATTGATTCGGAGGCGGTGAAATCAATCGATCAATCGTTTCGGTTACCAAAGCTCCTCTAGAGATCCATTCAACATGTGAAGTACCGATAAACTCAAATGAATCTAACTTCAATACTTCCTTCATCGACATCTCACCCCCATCGTGACTTTGAGTTGGAACATTGCACTTATACATATTTGCGCTCATTTTTCCAGCGATATCTACCTTGATCCCTTCACGATATTTGATGGACCATGTACATTCTTCACAATCTAACGCATATCCAACGTGAATGTGACGTCCTTCGGCGTTTTTGGACGGTGGTGAATATAGCGCCAGTTCAACAGGATTATCAAGTATAGGTGTCATCGATACCGCTCCAGCATCAAAGAAGATGTAGAAAAATCGACCCAGTGCAGAGACAGGAATATCTACAATAGTGATAGTCAGTAAAGATGTACTTTCTTGTCTCGCATCACAAGATGATCATTCTCATGGGACATAGAACGAAAGGGCTCACCAAATGATTTGTTATGCTCCGTCTTTTGATCCCACAGTGAAATCTTGAAATTCGCAGTATCAGTAAAGAAATCAGAAATAAGTTGACGAATATAATTCATTGGATCCTCCTGCTATAAAATCAAAAAAGAAACGAATCATTGGTAAGAGTCATAATAACGAATCAAAAAAATCGTAACAGACAAACTCACTCGACCTATCCTTGAAACACGATCAAAGAATTTATAAAGTCTCATTAATCCAGCATCAGCTATATGAGTGATTTCACTATTATTTGAAAACGATGTTGATGGTTGAAATCCTCCGATTTGAAATGGTGCATGTTGAATCAACATTGGTTTCTTATCAAGTTCTCTAGCTCCATCTGTTCCTGTCCTTGATGGACTTGTACTCATCTCACCCGATGAATTAGCTACTATTCCTGACTCTCCAACATTTCCACCAGGGGGTCTTGATGATCCAGGTATCATGCCGTTTGTCATCATTGGAGTCTGAGAAGGTCCGGCTGATCGCATGGCTTGGAAGGAGGCGGGTGAGGAAGCAGAATTCATTGCCTGGGGCTGCTCCGATCGTTGTCTCGGTGTCATTTGGGCTTGTGATTGTGATTGAGGTGGTTGAGAAGACTGTTTCTCACGCGCAGCTTGCGAATCCTCGCGTTGTTGCATATACTGTTGGACGGATTGTCGCTGTTGAAGATTCACAGATGGTGAAGGCGATGTCAAAGCAGGTTGATCGTCTGACGGCGTGGGTTGAGGATGAGTAGCGTTTTGTTGTTGTTGTTGTGCCATCTGCTGTTTCTGTTGAAGTTGTTGTTGTTGCTGCTGCTGCTGCTGCTGATTGGAAGCCTCCCGAAATTGTTGCAGTTGCTGAATGTTGGCCATGCGCTCGTTCTGAAGAGCCTGTTGAGCAGCAGCGTTTGATGGTTGCGTAGACTGCTGAAGGTTTGTTTGTTCTTGATTGGAGAGCGAAGATTGTTGAAGATGCTGTTGTGATACCGCGTTTTGCATATTGCCTTGTGCTGCTTCCATGGCGCGAACTTCAGCCTCAGAAGGGTTTCGCATTCCCATCGCCTCAGCTCTTGCTCTGGCAGCAGCGGCATGTTGCTGAGCCACTGCATGAGCCTGAACAGCAGCTTGCACCTGAGCAGGTGAAGCCTGTTGTTGGAATTGAAGTTGTTGCTCTCGCAGTTGCATTTGCTGTTGAGGTGTGAGTTGCTGTTGCAGATGTTGATTGATCATTTGTCTCTGAGCAGCCGATAATGGAACTTGACTTGAAAGATGGTCCGGATGATACATGAGACGTGATGGATGAGCCTGCTGTAACTCAAGCGTTCGATTGGGTTCTTCGCATTTGGGATCGGAAGAAGGTGGAGCAGGTAATCGAGCAGGCTGTTGACCTGGGGTCGTATTGACAGGTAAATTTTTGAACAGAGTCTGAGGTGTTGTCCCACCTTGACTTGCACCTGAAGGGAAAGGAGAATGCGACTGTTGAGAGTGAGCGGGAACGTGACTAGCTTGTGAAGGCGGACGGGCCGGATCGTTTTGAGACGGATTTTGGGCTTGAGAATGTGGACGGGCAAACGGAGGTCGAACGGGAGATTGACCAGGTAGTGGGGTAGAGCCGGAGGCATGATTCTGTCTTGCAAACATCATGGCTTGTTGAGGTGTCATGGCTTGCTGCTGTTGTTGAGCGAAAGCTTGCTGAGGAGATTGGGTTTGTTGCTGAAGTGGATTAGGTTGATTAGGTTGATGAGGCGAGGAGTTCATTCTAGATTGAAGAGCTTGAGCTTGGCTTTGTTGAGCTAGCTGATTGACATGTTGATGAAGGTGTTGACGCGGATGCATGTTAAGATGAGCTTGAGTATGCTCCGGCGATTGTCTCATAAGCTGTTGAGCGGCTTGCTGAACGGCGTGTTGTTGTTGTTGCTGTAGTTGCAACTGAGTTCGCCGCTCGCGTTCGAGAGCGATCTGGTGTTGTTGTTGAAGTTGCTGTTGATGCTGTGCAGCTTGTTGTTGCTGAGAGGGGTCCCGAGATGGGACGAGACCTTGAAGGAGAGGTGGTGGCATCACACCTTGTCTGACCCCCGGATTCGAATTGGGCATGGGTCGAACTCCAGCTGGTGTCTGAGCAAAGCCGTTCTGAGAGGGTTGCGAGCCTGGTCTAGAGATGTTTTGAGCGAGGTTTGCTTGACTTGGTGTTATTCGACCGTGTTGTTGCTGTTGTTGTGGCTGCTGCTGCTGTTGCTGCTGTTGCTGCTGTTGCTGCTGCTGCTGCTGTTGTTGTTGTTGCTGTTGCTGCTGAAGAAGGTGCTGTTGTTGTTGATGGGCATGCTGTTGTTGTTGCTGTTGATGGGCTTGTTGCTGTTGCTGTTGATGGGCTTGCTGTTGCTGTTGTTGAAGCTGGTGGTGTTGAAGTTGCTGAGCCTGAGCTTGAGCTTGTGCTTGTGCTTGTGCTTGAGCTTGAGCTTGTAATTGCTCACGCTGTTGAAGTTGATGTTGGTATTCATGTTGAGCTTGTAACATTTGTATAGCTTTGAGTCGATCAGCGTTAGCTCCGTAAGAGTTAGGACCCATTGATTGTACATCTGCTGGCATATTAGGTACTCGATTCAGTGCTGCTGGATTACCAGGAAATCCAGTGACAGCTCTCATTTGAGCTAAAGCAGTAAGATGAGCCGGAGATTGAGCTTGTTGAGCTAGCATTTGAGCGCCACCACTAGCTATACGTTGTTGAGCATGTTGAATTTGTTGAGGAGTTAATTGAGATAAATTTGTAGGTGGACCCATATTCGAATTGTTATTTAGATTCGAATGACCAAAGAGTTGTTGTGGTTGTTGAGGTTGTTGTTGTTGAGAATCTGACCATAATCTTTGTTGTTGTAAGAGTTGATGCTGTTGTGGAGTTAGATTAGATTGATTAGGTGGTATGAATTGTCTGATAGGATATTGAGATGATAAAGCTTGAGATCCCGATGATTGTTGCTGTTGTTGTTGTTGTTGCATTTTGATTAGAATTCGATTTTAGAGTCAAACTGAAAAAGGTAAACAACAAATCAATACAAAGACACAGTCACTCAGAGTGAGACCGAACGAGGAGAGAGTCAGTTTGATAAATCGAGGAAAGGGGCATACCATCAAAACTATCAAACTCATTCAAGATAAAACTCATAAAACACTTAAAATCAGCTAAAACTACTTAAATTCACTTAAAACCTTGGAAACCACTCAGATACAGCTTCCATAAATGTACAATCAGACTCACAATCTCCATTCTGGTTTCTATGGGAGCATCGCGGAATCGTACTTTTCGTGAGAATTCTCATGTGAGAATACACCCGTGAGAATACAGAACTAGGGTATCGGCATACATGTATTACACATATGCTTGCAGTGAGAGTTATCCGTACGGGTTTGCTGCGCACGGGGCTCTTACCCCGCCCCATCGCACCTTCGAAAACCCATAGCGCCGACGCGTCTTGTCCTCATTGGGCATCCTTCCATCAAATTTTTTCCCTTACATGAAACACAATTTTTTTTTCTGTTCTCAAAGATATGATCTCATTCCTTATAATGGCCTTGCCCTGCAATCTTTCGCATCATCACTTGCCTCCTCGCACGCTATGGTCTTCGGAAACCCCTACATCGGCGCGAAATACCGGCGAATGCCTTCGCACCCAACCTTACCCCTGCCAAAACATAAAGGCCTCGTTGGCCTTGCATGTCCTGACTGTCCGATTTCCAACGCCCCTTCGCTGATGTATCTCTCCGATAACGAAGAAAAAGATACTGTCAATGTAAAAGTGAGTAAAGATGCATCTTGACTTGTGATTTTGTCTCGCCATCCTAATGCGAATGCACCCTTTTCTTATGTTTGCCTTCCCCTAGTGCCCAAGAACTGTGCATTTCTACCGTACATTCAAGCTCAATCAACTCATTCATGAGATCGGATGCATCAACGCCGGTGCCCCTTACCCCATTTCTTTCGACCTTTCTGCTTACGGACCCCCAGTCAACATTCGAGGCTTACCAGCAACCCCTCGAATCAGTCCAACCAACAGCCAGCCAAAGACCTCCCAACGAGTCAAACGAACCGGGCCAGGGATCGATTGCGCTCGTCCCAACATAGGACCCACAGCCAACAAGCATAAGAGAGCCGGACATGCTGGATGTGCGCTTCGTTTCTGTAAATCCGTCAGTCCCGATTGTGTTCCTATTTGCATTGATCTACCTGATGGCATTCGCTGACTCCCTTGACTCGACAATGTAGTGCTGCCTTGAATATGGAACCCCTGGCCAATGCTACGTGCATCGCATCATCCAAACGCCACCCCCAGTTGTTGCTGTCCCCACAGCCAGCCTCGACGATCTTCCTGTCCCCAAACGTGCACGGTTACTTCCGGCGCAGTGTGCCCAGGCCATCGGCAGAGTCGGAACCATCCTTTCCGCAGATGGCCAGCTCCTTCTCGCCGCCTCGCGTGTGGACCAGGCGGAAGCGGTCCGAAAGGCCTCCACTCCTTCTATCGACCCAGGGAAGGTGATCAGCCTTCACCTTGTAACCCAGGTAAATTGAATCATTTTGTCCCCAAATTCACCATGATGTAACTGACGTTGATATATATATCACAGGGTGCCGATGCTCCCATCATCTCCCACTTTTTTCAAGACTGGCCCGTGGCCATTCTCAACGACTGTCAATCCCTCCTACGCGACGCACAGGCGGCCTCTGGTCCAGATTGGGATGGCCAGCTGTGCGTATGGGAAGAGCCCATGAGGAAATGGGTAAGCGCTCACCCCTGTCGCTTATTTCCATTGAATGACTCCATTCATTGACATCTTCTCTCTCCAGCGTGAAATCCCAGTGCATCTGCCGCACAAATATACTCGCACCTCAAAGAACCTGGTCTTGTGCGTACCCAAGCAACGTGCGAATCTCACCGACGAGCTCCAAGATGTCCTAGAAGGCCTTCAATTGGGTAAACCGATCGTCCCCCGAGTTCCAACCCAATCCGACACATCTGAAGATGTTCTTCAAGTTCCAACAGCATCATCCTCAATGCGACTCGTTGGCACAGGCATCACCCCCAGTGGTACTACACTCGGCCTCGAACTATGACTCAGCCAGACCCACACCACAGCCGTCGCCACAGTCACAAACCTCCACGTCACCAGAACAGAACGATTCAGTGCCTATCCCCTCAACCCCTGATTCATTACGTCTGGACGATTCACTTGTCCATCTCAATCCGGCTTTGTTTGGAATAGGCACCATCAAGGTACTCCTTTTTTAGGATTGTTTTTTTTTCAGATTTTGGCCCAGACCACTAACTTACTCTACCTAGAATATCTTGGGTCAGGTCGATGGGTCCCCCTTTCCCTCACCGTCGACACAATCAGATACTAGTGGTGCCACGCTGAGAGATTGGCCAGGTGAAGACACCCTGGTATCAGAAATGCTTGCTTGGTATCGATCTGCCGGCGGGTTTACCCCGCGGCGCAAGGCTCGCATCTCACTTTGGATCGAACAATATGGAAGTCAATTTAGGCTTAAAGACAAAACAGTATATCGCTACGCCGCCTGGGTTGATCTAGTCGATCTTGACAGAATGCAGGCCTGGGTGGATCATTGGCCTGAAGAAGGTGAAATCAACAAGCACAACATCACCGTGGCACGGACGAGGCGAAACTTCCAGCAAGAATACGACATCGTATGTTCCTTGCCCCACACGGCGGTGCGCGAGCAAGGCCTCGGAATTGCCCCAGGTCCTAAGCCAATCCAAAAGCGCCGACGCCTCCCACGAACCCCTACACCTACACATCCCAAACATTAATAAAATAGACCATCACCACGACAACAACCCCTTCAAATTTTCTTTTGAGTCTCTCTTTTCCAATGTCTGTGCTGCTCCAAATGTAGACGACAACCCCGACAACAACCCCTTCCTTTCATCTGTGGTACCCTTGTTTCCAATGTCTGTGTGCTTCGGCATAAGAATGATGCAATTACATCCTCTCACCGCCATGCCTTCTTAGACTTGCTGACCCTCGTCTCATCTAGCCTCGCGCCTGCTGCCTGAGTTTCAAAGAGAATAAGATCGCCCTTCTGATCACCTACTGACATCTACCTTTTCTTCAGTCGATTCAGATTCATCAGCTTCTCTCTGCCTCTTCGCCGACGATATTCATCTTGCTTGCCTAACTCAAGACATCACATACAACACTGCACCTCCCCGCCAAAACAACCCCAGTAACCCCAATTTTACATCTTACATCTGTTGTCAAATGACACGCATAGACATGTACTCGAGCTTAAAATTGGGTGGGTCTTTTCTGTACACCATATACATAACATCTTTTATCACTGATATCGGTCTTGGCTCTTTGTTTCTTTCTTTCGAACCTCTCCCTTGTAGCCTCCCCTGCCAAGTGCTTCACAACTTCGGAGGACCTTGGTTGGAAGGCGTTACCGTTCGACCAACCAGATGATCTATTTTTGACAAGAAACGACCCCGGCACCAGATCCAACTGGGTATTTGGGCTTGTGGAACGTCAGCAAACAACGCGGCGGACCCCAGACGTGTTAAAGTACAAGTGGGGATGTAACATCATCGATATCGACGTCAATCAACGCACCGCTCGGTTCTCCTACGATGGTCGTTACACATACTCAGCAGTTTGGCACACGGGTGCCGAAGATGTTACATTAGATGCATGTGCTCTCGACCGTACAAAGGATAACCTCCAAGATCACCTGCGATTTGCCCAAATGTATTACCACGCTGATTGCCTCCTCCAAACATTCAAAAGATTGCTCCTTCCCCTTCGCGAATTCAGTGATGCAGAATATCGTGTGCTTCGCAAATTGCACGTGGGTGACGAGTCATCTTCTTGAATTTTAGTCACGCCCACTGACTGGTTTTCCTTCCTACTATAGATTACCCAGAACCTCGTACTCTTCATTACCCAAGGTTCCAACAATAGGAGACGGTGGTTCAATCTACGTGAGAAAGTTTCCGCTAAGCCCGTTTGTATAACGGCCGAGGGGGGTTTCGGGCCGGAAAGTCGGGCTGCAAACCTCCTCGGGCGGTTCTTTGAATGCTTCACCCATTGGACTTACAACTATCATAATTGCCAAGCTTTAATCCACGGGTTCCGTGGTGATGGGTCCATTATCACTGATCTAGCTATGGATGATAACACGTCAGTATGGTTTGTTTGTACCAATCACCAGTCTCTTCCTGAATTGACCATTTTTGTGTTTTTGGTTTATGATAACGTAGGCGCGAATGGTTTATACAGCACCCATCCACAGCAGGGTGTCAAGCATTTGCGTCAAGACATGAATGCAATCACTTTTGTCGTAGCTTAGGTATGACAAAGCCATTACCCTACTACCCAGTTGGATCGCCACCTGTTAACCCTGATGAACAGGATTGAGATGATCACTGCGAGGGTTCAATTCACCTGGTTTTCAGTTAGCAAAGCATTCAAACTATCCATCGTTGTAAGACGTATTCCATAAGATAAGCAACTGCTTGACTTCTTTTCTTTCGACACACTCGTTCACATTTCTTCAACTTTATTTGTTGTTTTGGTTTTTGCCTATTCTTTCACTTGTTCTTTTAACAGTTTGTTTCCATCTTTACATAAAAAAAGACTACATTTTTCAAATTTGTTTTTCCCTGTGCTGTTCTCCCCAATAACAAAAAAGCTGCTGTTCTATTAAACATTTGGCACCCTTTCAAATCAAATCATGTCTGTCTTATTTACAAAAAAATGACTTGCAGTTCATTTTTTTCTTGAGTTTCATTCAGAGGACACTTCCCATGAGTGCATTGTTATTCAATCAAAAGAATACTTAAAAGAATACTTTTTTGGTTGCTGAGTGGTCCCTACCCCATAGTGTAATGGGGTAGACACCATTGACCAAGATAAACATTTAAATGCTGGGTTCAAGTTCATGGACATGGTACCTTCTGCATATACTTTCAACTAGGTCACACAATCACTCTTGGAACTTTTGCATTGTCATGACACACTATCGACACATGTTATGAGCCCATACGTAGAATATGCTTGTATGCTTATAGTGAGATCTTGCTCTACTAGAGAGTCTCGAGTCAGAGATTTTATATCCTCACGTTGCAATCTTATCATACGTTCAAGAACACCCTTTTGTAGACCCTTGATCCCCAACTCACGAGGTCCTAATAACACACTATCAATGCAATTGAGAGGTACACAATATTTGCAAGCACTCACAGGGGAAATCATCCAGATGAAATATGCTAACAAGACAACATGCATACACATGTAAGTAATTTCTAGATTGTAGTTATTTGCAATTTAATTCTGTTTAGACAACCACTACAACAAGCCACCACCCCACAAATTCTGATGTAATAATTGAATGAGAGAGTGAGAGTCAGAGTCACTTTGTCACTTTATCACTATGGCTATCTATCTCCTTAATCATCATGTACCATACATAGTCATGTACATACATAATCATTACATACATTGCTATCCTATGTCTTTAATCATTATGTATACCATACACACATTGAAGACGTGAGCTATCAAACACACCACACACTGGCATATTGATGCCTGGTTGGGGGTTGTACATGAACAGTACAAAATCAGGATGTTGTGCACACCGCCCCCCTTTTCACCACGTGTCCACATGTATGCGAAAAAGCTGACGCACCAGTCAGTGAGCAAGGTTGATTTTAGGTCTCAATTTTTTTTGTCAATTTGAGAAGGACCCTTTTTGGTCTCTTAGACCAATAATGTCTGCAGATTAACCCTCTTGTTTGAAAGAATTTGCATGCTTACATTTGCGTGGCAGTCACTATTGTTGAAGTTTTCTATCTTCAATTCATTGATACTTTATTTCTCTTGTTGTCTTGATAACGATAAAAATACATCAAGAATGTTTGTGGTACCAACTGCTCCCCCCGTGTTCCTGGGCTACCCTGATAGTCACACATTATGTGTGTGGAGGATTTTTAATTATGATGGTTTGATTGTTGTCCTTTACGCTCATGTTTTGGCTTGGTTGTGATTGTTAGTTATGGATTATGCCTTTAACTTATCTCTATTATGCCTTTAACTTAATCTCTTGTTCACCTTATTTTGTTTGGCTGACCGCGCAATCAGACTGACGTCATCAAGAGCAAGCATAGAAGAGAGTGTGATATTCTTTGGCAGGCAAGGAGCACTTGGGAGATGGATCTGTTTCCAAGCATGCATAGAGAGTGATGGACAGTGTGATCTTCTTGGACTACTGGGGAGTGTTGATCTGTTTGCAAGGATTGTGAGAGGGAGGAACAACCCGGATCATCAGCCAGCAAGAGGGTGCTCATTCATACTACACAACCTTGAGGTTGAGTCAATGGGCTACTGAAGTTACTTACAGACCATGGGTGAGGAAGGAACACTAAGTGGAGATAGATTCCTTGGGGGATAACACACAGCCTGGTTCCGCAGCAGCCTCTACAGAACCAAACATGACAGCTAAAGCACTCACTAAAACTCTTAAGACCACACCATACCCAGGAGATACAGTGAATGTGCAGAAGGCCAACGCTGATGCAAGGCAGTACAAGAATCTAATTACTCTCTGCAGCATTATGTCTAATACATATAATTGATTGTTGCTGACAGGTGTATACAAATTCATACACCTACACCCCAATGTGCAAACATCCTTGGGGGCCTGTGAAAACAACCCCCTTGATCTTGGGGGCCTATAAGATCAAGTTCACGTGATGCACAGAGGGCTGAGTGAAAGCAGCAGTGCAATCAGAAACTGCCGGCATCAGCACGCAGCATACACAAACTTTACAAGATGTACTCATTATCACACAGCCCAGACCCTACAGTGAGTACCAATGGCTTTGCAATGTGCATCAGTTGAATACCTTCTGTCTGTAGTTTGTCAATTTACTCAGGGGCATCATTCCCAAGGCAACATCGCACCTGTATCTTTCCCAAGTGTTGTGCTTGTACGCACTGGAATTGCATCCCAGACCGACGGTAGCAAACCCCTACACCTACACAAATAGGCAATCACCACGACAAAAAACCCTTCACAGTTTTGCGTGCCTTGTTTCTCCTTTTGGAAGTATTTGGTGTAGTTGAATCAATCATGTTCACTATTGATTCAAAAAGGCGATTTGTCTTCTTGGATTAATGATACTTGTAGTGAGTTTATTGAAACTTAAGTAGGTGTTACCATATAATTCCAGCCTCAAGACAATCAGTTTAGTTAAATCAGTTTAGTTAACAGTCATTGCAACCAATCAATGTTTATGTATCACCCAATCCCCCAGGGTTTCTATCAATAACCATCTCAGGGGTCAGACACCATTTGAGATGGTTATTGATAGAAATTTTTGTTGAGCTATCAGCCCCAACTGCCCATGTATGCCCAAATACTTATGGGAATGAATGTTCTATTGCCAACAGTTCATTGAAAACTGTCATATTGTTACAAATTGTTAGATCATTAGGTGTAACAGTTGCTCCCGGAGCCTACG